AGGTGGTCCCTGACCTCCTTTTTTACGGGTTCTGATGTATGGGCCTTTAGTTGTTATAGGGTATATAAGGGGGCATAGAAGGGGTACCATTTTAAGGGCCCATACCAAGGGACCATGTAACTACCCTAAGATCATCGCGTTGATTTGTCTTGGCAGGAGCTAGCCCTCTTTGCCGGGGAGGGGGGGGGGCGTGTCGTATGAACATAGCAAATCAAGAAGGGCTCAATTTCAGAAATATAATGATGAAGGAGGAGTACGCAAGTATTGGTTCGGGTCTAGCTCGTTTGGGGGAAACCCTAGACCTTAACCCCTAAACCCCAAACCCCTAAACCCCTAAACCCCTAACCCCTAAACCCCTAAACCCCTAAACCCCTAAACCCCTAAACCCCTAAACCCCTAAACCCCTAAACCCCTAAACCCCTAAACCCCTAAACCCCTAAACCCCTAACCCCCTAAACCCCTAAACCCCTAAACCCCTAAACCCCTAAACCCCTAAACCCCTAAACCCCTAAACCCCTAAACCCCTAAACCCCTAAACCTAAACCCCTAAACCCCTAAACCCCTAAACCCCTAAACCCCTAAACCCCTAAACCCCTAAACCCCTAAACCCCTAAACCCCTAAACCCCTAAACCCCTAAACCCCTAAACCCCTAAACCCCTAAACCCCTAAACACCTAAACCCCTAAACCCCTAAACCCCTAAACCCCTAAACCCCTAAACCCCTAAACCCCTAAACCCCTAAACCCCTAAACCCCTAAACCCTAAACCCAGAATCCAAAAACGACACCAGGAGTCGTGCTTCCGGCGCTCGCGCGCCCAGCCACGCAGCAGCCGCACTTGCTCTGTCAGCTCCCTGGAAGGCTCCTGGGCCTTCGGGTCTAGGGTTTATTTAGGGTTTAAAGGGAGCCTGCGGGGGGTTTTGTAGTTTTGGGGTTTTGTGGGTTTTTTGCGCTTACCTGGGCTCTTAGGGTGTTGGGGTTCACCGGCTGCTGTGGGGTTTAGCGTTTGGGGTTTAAGACGTTGCTGGGAATGACCTCCTCTGGGCTTTGTGAGCTTTTCCTAAGCCGGAAACCATAAACCCTGCACCCACCAAAACACTGCGAAACCCCCCAGACACTTCCAACCACCAGACTCCCAAATGCGCCGAGCCTAAACCCTGAACCCTGAACCCTGAACCCTGAACCCTGAACCCTAAACCCTGATTCCTAAACCCAAAACCCTCAACCGCTTCTTCTCCAATGTCGGAACCATGGGCTCTGCGCATGGCCCCATAACCTTGTTTATAGGGAGCCGAAGTATGGGCCCTTCTTATATACAGCGTATATGAGGATTGTAAAAAAACAAGATAGTGCGCGGCCCCCCCCCCCCTCCCCCCCCTCCCCCCCCCCCCCCTCCCCCCCCCCCCCCCCCCTCCCCCCCCTCCACCCCCCTCCCCCCCCTCCCCCCCTCCCCCTCCCCCCCCCCTCCCCCCCCCCCTCCCCCCCCCCTCCCCCCCCCTCCCCCCCTCCCCCCCCCCCCGCCCCCCCTCCCCCCCCCCCCTCCCCCCCCCCCCTCCGCCCCCCCCCCCTCCCCCCCCCCCAAACAAGAGACGGGGGGGGTTAGGATTTTTGTTACTTTTGAAAGTTTTCTAATAATTTGAATGAGGTTTTTATTCATTCTAATTAATCAGATTTGTATTACTTCTAACGGGATTCTTATTAAAATAACAGAAATCCTTTCCGAATGAAGTGCAACACTTATTACAATTAATTGAACTGCTATTAAAATTAGTAGAAGTCCGATTAGAAAAAACAATTCAAACCCCATTATTAAAATTGAATTGAAATGATACGAAAAAAGATGGCAAATAGAAATCTTGTTAAATTAACAGAAATCCTCTTGAAATTACAATGATTCCTATTCAAAACAATAGGAATCCTACCAAAAATGGCAAAGGAATTGTGGAACATCGGGGGGGGGGGAGGGTGAGGGGGGTTTGTTGGGTCAAGGGGGGAGGGGGGGGAAGGGGGGGGGTACCTTGAACATCCGCGAACATCCGCGGGCCTCTTTTTTACGCACTCTCTTTTAAAACAAGGGACCCTAAACCCTAAACCCCTAAACCCTCAACCCTAAACCCTCAACCCTAAACCCTAAACCCCTAAACCCTAAACCCGAAACCCCTAAACCCTAAACCCTAAACCCTAAACCCTAAACCCTAAACCCCTAAACCCTAAACCCTAAACCCTAAACCCTAAACCCTAAACCCTAAACCCTAAACCCCTAGACCCCTAGACCCCTAAACCCCTAAACCCCTAAACCCCTCAACCCCTAAACCCCTAAACCCCTAAACCCCTAAGCCCCTAAACCCCTAAACCCAAATTGAGGGCCCACACTTCGGATCCCCGATCTTCGCCAGGTGCCAAGCAACCGCCCAGCGAGTGCCCGGCAGAGGATGCGGCCGCTGAGGTCAAGGCTCCGGGCTGAGGGGGTTCAGGGCCAGGGCTCAGGGCTCAGGGTTTAG